GCTCATGCACCATGAAATAAAAGCAACATGAAACAGCACTTCCAGGGATGAAACATCATTTTACGTGTCACAAAGATCACATGGCACTTTCTAGTGGTTCTACAGATGTGTTAGACATATGAGATATGCAAGTATAGTTTTGAAAAACAAAGATGCATCAAATTACAAGCCCTTTCCTACCCATAAGGAAGCAGCTATAGGATACATGACTGCTTGTACAGTCAAATGGCACAAAAATAATGCATCATACAGACAGTTTGGAGTGGAAGCCTTGACAAATGAAAATTCTAGAAATTTGCCAATTTCACAACAAAGAAAAATTAAGAAATGGTCTGGTATCTACAAATGTAATTGATGAATGTCAAGCAGCAGAAAGGTGTATGAAAGATTTCCAAAGTTAATAAATGGCGAACTTCCTCAAGTAACTGCAATAAGCCTTGGAATAGAGACTGATGTATTTGAAGTAGTTTTTGGAATGGAGTTTTCTCTGGTTTATATGAACACATGTTTGATTGTGCACCAGAAGATGACCATATTTACAGTGTGGTAAGATCTTTTGGTGTTACATCCAAATATGAATGCACCACCATGCTAAACAATAATTTACAAAAGTTCCAGGTGAAGGAATGAGAAAAAAAGTTTTCAAAGTAAATTTTATTTTGTAGTTTCAAATTCTGTGGTGAATTAAAATATTTGTACAATGCCCAAATTATATATTACTGTTTTACAAATTTCAAATGTATATAAGACATTTATTATCTTATTAAATGTAACATTAAGTATTACATATAAGTATTGTAGTGTAACTTAAACTAATTCAGTTGTACATGTATTCTATTAGCCTATTTGTTTAGACATACAGTATTCAAAATGACAGTAATGCTGTATCGACAAACAATCATCTACAGCACATTACATTTATTTGTTTTTGCTATTTCTATATTAATACTTGCATTGTGTATATATACTGTACTTTTTTCTTTAACATAACACAATGTTTAGGGGCAACAAGGGACCTATTGGTCCATCTAGACTGTTCCATCCTCTAAACTGAACTAAAACTATTAAATATGAAAACAAAAACCCTCAAAGCCACCCCTATCATTTATATAGTTATCAAGCTTTCATAAACTCACTTAAAATGTACTGCCTTCACAATATCTGAAGGCAATTCATTCCAAAGGCTAACCACTTGACATTTTCTTAAATTGAAAATGTATTTCCAATAATACTTACTCCTCTCACACTTACAGCTATTACTGACTGCAAAGGTTTCTTCCTTTGCTCATCTAGGCATTGCTCTGATTTTTTTCTTGTCTGCTCCAGTCTTTTAAACCACACTTCATTACCATTGTCTCATGACACTCTCCACTTACGTCAGTGCGCTCCATGTCCTGGAACTGTATATAAACACCTCATTCAGATAATGTTATCACTTTGTCGAGACTGACTCAATCCCAGTCTCTGTGGGGAGGAAGGGCAGGAGAGTGTCAATGGAGATAAGTATGTTTGGAAATACATTTTCAATTTTAGAAAATGTTAACTTACTTAAAATACTTACCTCCATTCATGCTACAGCTAGAATCCCACTTTGATCAGGTGGAGGGGCCAGTGAGGGCATTATCCATACAGAACAGGTATGCTCTTCACTCAGAACTTAATTCATGTACCAGATAGCCAAGGTTCCACTGCTCAAGGTTGGAATTATAGGGTCATGGTTCCTACATCCCAAGTTGGTGGCTAGGGCAATTGAACCACTATATATGGTGGGATCTTGTATGCCTTACTCAATCTGAAGAAACAGAACTCATCCAGTCTGGAGTTATGAACACTCATCCTCACTTCCCATCTGTGTGGGCAAGGTATATTCTTCTTGCCCCCAGAATTATGGGGAGGACATGAAACAAACTATGCTCAACCAAGGACCCTGGATGGGGCCACTCTATGTTCGGAATTTATGAGGAGATAATGGAACCTCTTCTATAAACAATGTACTGAACCATTATTGATCTAAAAGAAGATAGTCAAGTGTCAAATTTGAACTGGTATTATGAGTAGGCTGTAGCGTAGGCTGGTGCCTCTCCTACTGA